AAAAATAAAGTATTGGTATATTTTATTGGTTTATAAAAAAGTTTATTACAACATTTAATTCCAATATTTTTTTTTTTTGGGTAAAAATGTTTAAAGCCCTTTGAAACTTAAGGCCCTAAGCAACAGCTTACCCAGTTACTTAATAAATCCTGCCCAGATGGGACAGATGTCAAAGCTAATGTTTTTTTTTTTTAACACAAAGGGCACAAATATGTATAGAACGATCTCGCTCATTTGTTTCGATACCACATAATGATGTGTCTCGCTAGCAATAATTGTTCTCCTTCTATAAAATTTCGCGCTAAAAAGCTACAAGCAGCATATATCATTATATCGGACAGTAATATATGATTACTTTTACATTACTAGTTATAAGCGACCCAGATAAAGTAGCCATTTTGTAAAAATGCAGCGCCCTCTATAGTTCATGAAAAACACGAATAGTGTAGAAAAGTATACATCGAGATACTATACTGACTAAACAAATTACATTATACTAACAAATCAAACCACTTACTCGTTAGTACTGTATAATAAGCGGCCGGATGGCAGCTTACCGCTCTGGGAGACCCGGGTTCAAAAAATCCCCAGGAATTTTTCGGAGGGTGGTCCGTTCGGATATGTCGGGCCTCGTCTCTCACCATCCTGCAGTTCCATTGTGGGCCTGGTCGAACTCATAATGAGCTTGCTAAAAAAAAAGGGCCTTAGTGCCCACAAGATGGAAAGAGTTTAAAAAAAAAAAGCCGATACAAGACACGACAAAAAAATATTTGGTAAATATTTTTTATTAATACTGTATTTCATTTGCATTATAATAAAAAATAAATATTATTATTTTTTAATATTAATTTCTTTCTTTACAAAGAAAAAATATAAACAAAATTATTTTAAATATTTTTTGGTCCGAATGGCAGGCTGACTAGCTGCAGCAGTAGCACCTCTGTTGAGAAAATTTTCAAGACGCCAGTTTTTAATTTCTTTTAAATATTTTTATTCTTTCGAAATATTACAAACAGTAAAATAACTAAGAGAATATTTGATGCAGATCTTTAAGGTGCTCCCAGCATAATAACTGCTTATAATTTCGTACTGTACTTGTTTTTCAAAGTTATGGATTTGCGTTGTTTTTTGGTTTTCATATCAGTAACGGTTTCACCTTTTGGTTTCACGGTTTGTTTTAGACGTGTTGAAAGCATACAATACTTGAAAGCACAAAAATAATAAAACGAACTTATATATTGGCTACAAACGAACGATAATACAGTGGGCTCGTTTCCTAGTAAAGCCGCTTTGTTAAAAGACTGTTAAGCCGGATGCGCACATGCGGCGCGGCAAGGAAAAGCGGCAGAATGACGTCACTTTTTCTCGCCGCAGAAGTCGATTTTGTGCCGCTTTTCTCGTGCCGCAAAAGTTGGTTGAATTCTATCTTTTGCGGCAACGCCGCCAAGACGCGTTTCTATCAGCCAATAACAGTTTGTCTCGTAGTCACGTGAGAAAATACAATCACGTGGTGTTTTAATGGCGGAAAGTTCGAGGCGGTTAACCGAGATAATTAAAATCAGAATAAAGAGGAAAGGATAACAAATTTAAAACAAATTCTACACAAATAATCATATATAATTTAATTCAAAGAACAAAACAACCGAATCTTACTCGAAATAGTATTCTTTATCGAGAGATCTTGATCCACGAATAAGTCTATTTTGTACACCAGTTCTTTCTCGATCCAAAAAAGTATCTCTAATTCAAATCTTCGACAAAATCTTTTAGCTAAATAAAGCGAGCCGTACAAAACAAAATTTGTAAACACGTGGATAGGGACAGTGTGTAAACACGTGGATATCGTTCGCCATCTTGAATACTGAACGCATGCGCCGAAATGTAAGCGGATTGCCGCTTGTGTGGTTGTGCTGCCGCGCGGCGAAGATGAGTTTGCGTCACCGCTTTTCCTTGCCGCGCCGCATGTGTGCATCCGGCTTTAGGGTACGGTACGACTATGCAGATGCGAGCAAGCGATTTTTCCGAGCGAGCGAGAATGTGTGGGGAATATCAAACTCTGTGTCAGATATGTGCGAGAACCAGAAATTCGCTCACGCCAACGAGATTTCTCGCTTCTCGCTTGAGCATTTTTTTCTTTGCGAGAACTATATCTCTCGCAACTAAATTCGCGTCTGCATAGTCGCAACCTAAAGCTATGGGGTATTTCCGTTTTAATTTAGCCCCTGTAGCGCTAGTGCAGCGAGGTTCATAAGCGCCGAAGACAGAAGTTAAGGTGGCTACCATTATAAATTATACTCCAGACATGGGCAAATGCGGCTCTTTTTGAGTTACATGCGGCTCTTGCTGAAAGTGTTAATTTCTGCTTTTTATTATTATTTTTACAATTTTATTTCCACAATTTTATGAAAATATGTTTATTAAAAAATTCAATATTTGTTTTATATTATACAATAAAATCGCGATACAGAATAACAAAGTACATAACTATGGCTCCCATGCATTTTGCAAAACCTACATTTCGGTTCCCACTGAACTCTTGCTTGCCCACCCGTCATACTCAAATGAAAATTGTGACATACGAAAATCTATCTTAAACTGGTTATCGGAAAAATTAGAAATAGTTTTCCACATAATCTTCTATTCCGACATAAACGCCTTCAGTTTTATTCGTAATGACGAATGCACACGTTCTATTGTTGTTGGGGCCTATCAGTGGTGGCCAATCGGTCTTGGTTCCCTGAACACTGGGCGTTTGGTTGTGGGTTCGCGCCTCGCTCGGACGGGCTGGTCACGTGGAGTTTCCGACTTTTCTCCACGTCTGTAACGCCTAAATAGGGGCCAGTTTCCCTTAAAAAGACCTCCCGGAAGGCATACCTAGGCAGATTGCCCAAGTATTGCGTTGCCATAAATAAACAAGCAAATCTATTGTTGTTGTTTACCATATAGGTATTTGATTTTTACACAATTTCGAATTTCTTGATCGGCTGCCTCCGATATTTTATAGTTTTAATCACAATTCTACATCGTTTCTGACTAAACATTTTCATTCGTACAAAACAACGTATACAGAGCCAAACGACAATGCTGAGTAGTGAGGTGTAGAAATGTTTACTACAAAAGCAGAAATTACTCAAAGCGCCCTCCCGCAGCTTTACTAGGAAACGCGCCCAGCGTCTATCCTTAACGATGACTCATTTCATAAAACTGTCTTCCATTGACTCACGCCTACGGCAATACAGTATTTCATTTTAATACCATCGCCGCCAATGCAGTAATGATTCAGATCGTAAAATCGGGTACTTCGTGTATATATATAGAAGTATTCCTGCCATATTTTTAAAATTTTAGTTCATCTAGTCCTGATATACAATACAAAATTCAGGCCAAAAACAAAACAGAATTTTGTTTACTTACGTTTTCGGAACAGGGAACCGTAAAATGTCGAAAAGTGCAACAAACCCGAAGGGCAAAATTTGACTGATTACAATCCTTTCTTTGTTACTTTAATAGCCGGAAAAGTAAAACGCAAATGGCTTATGAACTTAACAAAGATAGTAAAATCTCTAAGTTTCAGGATATTTCTGTGAATTTTAGTATTCGCAGATTTATATCCTCATAAAGGTATACGGATTTCAGGCCTTTTCATACTTTGTGAATGGATAACATTTTAGCAACGAGTTGCATAACTTTCCCGACTTTTAAGAATTTTATTTTAAAAATAACATTTGTATTAATTAATCAAAATAATTAAAATGGTATGTGGCGCCATCTGTTATGAAACTTTGTTAAAAACACTTTATAATTTTTAATTCTAACATGACTAAGTTCTTAATTTTGAGTGTAAATATGACTTTTATGTTTTAAAACACTGTAAATGCCAACAAGTAAGATGTTCATTGTCAGACCGCTCGCGAGATATGACACGTGACTTCTCTCCATCCCCTTGACCTTTCACAACCAAAATTTAATAGTATCAATGCCCCCTATACACAAGACACCATGCCAAATTTCGTTTCTTTATCTTCACAGTCCTGAGAAATTAAGTGAAATAGACACCAATACTCACACATACTCAAGGAATTTTTTTGACTTTTTTGGGGCAGCAGTAGCACCTCTGTTGAGAAAATTTTCAAGACGCCAGTTTTTAATTTCTTTTAAATATTTTTATTCTTTCGAAATATTACAAACAGTAAAATAACTAAGAGAATATTTGATGCAGATCTTTAAGGTGCTCCCAGCATAATAACTGCTTATAATTTCGTACTGTACTTGTTTTTCAAAGTTATGGATTTGCGTTGTTTTTTGGTTTTCATATCAGTAACGGTTTCACCTTTTGGTTTCACGGTTTGTTTTAGACGTGTTGAAAGCATACAATACTTGAAAGCACAAAAATAATAAANATTATCATTTTTAATTTGCAATTTATACTACTACAGCACTTATTTTAGCGATAAAACAAGAAATTAACCTATATATAATTAAAATAACCAAAACCAGTTTCATGTATAAAATATCGCAATGTAAGAAAAACTAAAGTTAGTAGCTTTTTTTGCTTTTTTTCTTTGCTTAAAGGAACAGGGTATAAAATTATTCTTTTCTGAGAGAATAGTCTTATTATTCTTGCTTATTAAATGAAACTACTGTATAATAAAATTTTTTTCCTCAAAAATTTTAACTTAGAATTGGCTCCAAAAAATTTTATGATAGATCTATACCTTAAATGACATTACAATATATTTTTACAGTCAATTCCACATTAGAATTTTTGACCCATTGTTATGTTGTCTTTACTACAAAATTTTATCTTTGTATTTTACATGAATGTGCAAAATTTGTATTTTTCAATAGTCAGTTTTAAATGAGAAGTCAGAAAGTTGTTTCTGGAATATATTATTATTTACAAAAAACATTTGTAAATTCTATTTCCATTAATTTGCAACCTATCAATCAATAGTTTAAATTTTAATAGGAATTAAATAGATAAATTAATGTTACATTAATTTCTACATTCCAATTATTATAAATATCCTTTTATTATTATTGATTTAACTTTTATTCTTCAAACATAACAAAGTTTAAACATTTTGATAATTGAAAACTTGGGATATCATGAATTCTTAGTAATGTTTTAAATATTTTTTTTATAAGTTAAAAATCTGAGTATGAAATCTGTTAATTATATCTAGTACAAATTTATCTAAAATATTTTATTTTCAAAATTATATAAGAAATTGACATTGCTTATCATCTTTCTCAAATGTGATAAACAGATATAAAAGAGATTAATGTAAGAATGATCAAATATCCCAACTAAATCACGTGCACTTAATCAATTATCACCACCAAGTCTATTTCGTATAAACATGGTATTAATTACACTTAAGAAATGTTATTTAAAGCATTTTAATTCTTTTCAAAATCAATATTTACTAATTTTATAATCAAGTTTTATTTCCAATTTTTACATGATTAAATTTGAAAAATTTAGATTATTAATTAATGTAGGTCAAATATTTATTTAATAAATTTGTATAAAACTTATACAATTTGTGCAAATTATTCTGAAGAATTAAAATGCTTATAAACTGCAATACCACATACAATTGTGAAAATACCACCTAGTACCATACTCCAGTTGGAAGAAACCCAAGACTTTTTAACTTTGGATTTTGTTTGGGGTTCCATATTACATTTAAACATTCTTTTATACATTGCTTTTGCTTGTGTTTCTTCCTGTTTCCTTTTTGAAGTTAATTTAGATAATTCTTGATGGATTATCTTTCTTTCAGGTTCTATTTGTAATGCTTGTTTCATAACATCAATAGCTTCATCTAATTGTCCTCGAGCTGCTAATATCTTTCCTTTCCTAAAAAGAGCTTTTACATTTTTTGGTTCAATTGCTAATACATTGTTAACAGATTTAATAGCAGCTTCATATGCATCCATTTTCAACTGAGCTGCAGCAAGATTATTATAAACTTTAATTCTTATACTTACTAATTTTTTAAACTCATCATCAGTTGGTTTTTGAAAATTCTGACCTTCTTCATAATCAAGAAAATCTAATGCTCTTCTATAACAATGTACAGCTGTAGAAAAATCACCTCGTTCATACCAAAAGTTACCCCTGTCTCTTTTCTCATCTCCAATTTGAATTCTTTGATTGACACTTAAATTTTCTTCTTCTTCTGATCTGACGTCCACTAACCGTATTTTATAATTTATGACAGAATTTGGTGGAATTTCTGGAAGTTTCCCTTGCTCTCCATAAGCTAATCTGGCAGGAATGATAACTTCGGCAAGTTCACCTTTCTCCATTAATGTCACCGTCAAATCAAGACCCTGAACAATATCCGAATCTCCTACTATTATTGTCATATTATCATACTTTTCCACTACAGTACCATCTTCTAATTCTCCCGTGGCATCAATAACAATCCAATCACCTCGTTGTGGTCTACTTTCCAATCCTACCCCTGACTCTATTACTCTCTTCTTTAGATCATTACTTCCCAATATATCCAACCAACCATCTTCATCTGTTAATCTTGGAGTTTCATCTTCAATTCGAAATGGTTTTAATTTTGTCGTAGGCTTATCCGATTTCTCACTTTCATCATGATCATCATCATTTTTTTCTGAACTATCACAACTCTCCAATTGTGAAGGCTCATCTTCAGCTTTTTCTACATTAAGATTTTCTGAATATTCATCGATTTTGGAATGTTGAGGCAAATCTTGTACTTCCATTCTTCTATTATACATATAATTTAAAACTGTTTCAATTAGTCTGAGAAAGAATCACAAACGATGAATTCAATAAAAATAGAAATATAATCAAAAACAGATTAGCAGTTCTAGAACTATCTTGAATTGTGCAAGACGAATCTGTAGAATACCGCTTAAAGATAAATTATTTCATACCTCACGTCAATTTCCATTAATTATTCTTAATAAGTGAATAAACGTCAACTTAAAAATCACTTGTTCTACTTCAATTTTTAACCGTATCTAATACAAACGCACCTGCTGGAATGGTATACGAAGTGGTAGCAACACTAATCACGAGTAAAAGCAGACACATCTGGCGTTTGGAGGCGCATTCTGCCACATTTCTATCAAAAAATTATTTTTCAAAAAATAAATAAAATTCTATAAAAAATTTTAAATAATTTTATAAGAATATAATTATCTTAATAATTAAAAATAATCAATTTTACAGTAATTCTATTTGATTTCTTTACTTTTAATTTTTATGCAATTTATAATTTTTGAAATACAGTGGGTGATCGGTTAACGAACAAATCGGATAACGAACACTTTCGCGAAAGATTTTTATGTTCGGACAACGAACACCTCATAACAAACACGAGAAGAAGAGACATAAAATAATGAATACGGATTGGTCTTCCCTTGTCTTCAGGCAACAATTCGAAACTTTTCGGAGCGCGGGAGACGTCGACATCGACGCTCAACTCATATATACTGATCAAATAGTATTCTTCCGAACTTTGAAACTCTCCTTTGTAATTCCAACCATTTATTTTTCTGACAGAAAGATGTTTTTATAGTATTCGCGAGACTGTCGGGCGAGCATACGTTAAGTTTTTCGTCGGTTTTTATTTTCGAAAGGTGAGAGTATAATAGCAAAGATAGGAGTGGGCAAAAGATGTCTGACGTTGCTGAATAGTATGGCTTGAACAGGTTTACAGTAGGCCGCAATTCAATCTATCTAAGAAACATAATGTATAATCAAGACTCAAGCAACTAAAGGAATAACAAAAATCACATCTGAGAAATAAAGAACGTTGAAGAGCTCATAATGGAACCTGAAACGGATCTGACGACAGAAGAACGCCAAGAACTCTCGAATGAAGAACACCAAGAAACTCGGCGAGATATGTTTTCTTCTGAAAAAGAAGATTAATGCCGATATCTGCTATTAAAGATCCTTTGAAGAAGTAAGAGGATGTCAGGACAACGGTCTTAGAATGGCATCCAAACCAGCTTGAGGTTAATAGGCTTGGGGATCTCTAGAATTACAATGCTATTAATTACTTCTGAAAAATCCTGAAGAGAGAAAAGCAAACAACATTAGACATTATTTTTAATATCATTTAAAAATATTAAGGTTTAGCCATCGATATACTGTACCGATTAAATTAAGCCTAAAAGTCATATTATTACAGAACAAAACTAAATTTAATATCTCAAATGGTTTTTTTTTTAGTAAAAGTTTTAATGATTATACTCAAAAATTCTCTTTTTATATCACCATTAATTTGGAAATTATTCAGTAATCTTTATTTGGGAAAAAAATACAATATACGGCCCGTCTAATGAATTTATGCGGCCCGCGATTAATCTTTCAATATTAGCTACACAAGTTCGAATAGCTCGATGAAAAAAATTCTGACGCCTAAAAAAAAAGGTCAACAATTCACTGTGCGTTTAGAGTTAACGCTCCATTTCAAATCTCTTAAGTACAGCGTAGAATGTTGATAATGCATGATAATGTGAAAAATGTATCTGTAATCTTTATATGCAATTTAGTCTCTACGGGGTGACACCACAATGAGATCTCGCACCACCTCAAAATCTTCCTAGGGCATCCTCTAGTTCGGTCCGTAAAAAAGTTTTCTTTTCAATTCGGCCCGGGGGACAAAAACTATTGGCCACCCCTATACTATACTGAATAAACTATAAGAAATAGTACACATTATACCGACTGGAAAACAACCGTTTCTGAGATATTAACAATTTTGTATATTAGTATCATGGCGGACCTTATGTCACCTATGACGTGAAAAAAGAATATAATCTTACTAAATCTTTACCCAAATATTTACAGGTATTTCAAATGTTTTCTTTCCATTTCTGTGCAAGCTTGCATCTTACAGAGTCGCAAACTTTTTCAACATTTCCAGGTCTTTATCCAGTGGCGTACCGTGGGTATCAGCCGCCAGGGGCGGAGGAAAATTTCGCCCCCCTTATTTAGGTACAGTAGAGCATCGATTATCCGACCGCCGATTAACCGTCACATCGGTTAACCGACCGTCCTAGTCGGAAAATTTCAAATGTCCGCTAGTGATGTGGCATTACAATATTTGGCTATGTCTTGGCTACTTTAATATTATTTTTGTTAAATTTTTGCGTGTTTTAGCTGGCATCAACGGCTCGACCATTGAAGGGAGGTCCCGCGTTTCTTTATGCAGCGAGAGTGTAGAGAAATGACGTTACGAACAGTGTTGGCCAATTAGAAACCAGTTTCAGTGTGTTCGCTGTAAAGCGCTTCTCGAGTGCTGCATAAAGAAACGCGAGGAGGCCAATATTTAAACGAGACTTAATTTTTTAATTATGAGTGGTTGTTTGTTTTGTGACAATAAAATAATTTAAAAATAATTTTTAACTATACAATTATTATTTTAAAAAAAATTTGTTAGACTAAACATTGATGAAAATTCAACGCGAAGTTGGTTAATAGCGATATACTAATAAACTAATTACATTGGATATACTAATATCCTAATATGCTATACTAATAATGTATTTTATTCCTTCTTTTCGGTTACCCGATTTTTTCAGTTATCCGACCAACCTGAGTCCCCAATTGAGTCGGATAATCGATGCTCTACTGTATTTCAATTTAAAAGGCCAAAATTCAGTTTTGTCACAGAAAAGCAATGATAGTGCAGCGACCTGCTTAAAATAATACTATTGGATATTAGTGGTGTATATGAACGCGAATGAATCGTACAAGTAAAAAAAAAAAAAAAAAAAAGGTCAACTNTCGTAGGCGCGATGCAAGTATAGATTGGGATGTTTCAAATTTTTACAAGATATTATTATTATTTATTGTGAAATTTTTCCGTCCCCTAAAAGGTGATTTTGCCGCCCCGTAAAAAGTGCCGCCCGGGGCGGGCCGCTCCTGCCGTCCCCACTATGGTACGCCACTGTCTTTATCGAATTACATATCTCAGAAATGGTTGAGTTTTCGATCTATGTTTACTAAGGTCTTCAATTTACTCAGTATGGTATAGAGTATTCCACTATATAATTATACTGAATGTTTTCTTAACACTGTGTAGAATAAAAGACATGGAATTTGACTTGCTGAAAGCACCAAGAGAAGCAAGGAAACTTCTTTTTTAGCAGCTTCTTTACTTCTGGAAATAATCCTTCGATGAAATGCTCCAGGTAAAGTTTGTTAAGACTAAACTCGATTCCCTTTGTCCACATTTCAGCCACGGTTTTTCCGTAGTCCATATATGTCTATCTTAGTCTTATATTGGCCGGATGGCTGAGGTAATAAAGATGTCGACCAGCAGGTCGATATCTTTATCACCTCAGCCCAGTACTCTGGGGTCCGTTTCGAGAACCCCAGGGATTGACGACCAGATGGCCGAGCGATCAAGATGGCAGCCTATCGCTCTGGAAGACCCGGGATAGAATCCAGACGGGTCGAAAAAACCCTGGGAATTTTCAGGTGCTGGACAGTTCGAACATGTTGGAAGATTTAGGTCTTGGTCCGAGCCAGAATTTCAAGAAATTTTCGAAGTTGGTCTGTCCTGATATGCTGGGTCCCTCATCTTGGCTACACCATTGTGGCCAAACGCATAATAAGCTTGAAAAAGGCTTTTTTATTATCCATAATGCAAAAGAGGATGAAAAAATGTTCTCTTTCTACCATACTGTATATGTGCTATAGTCATTTGAATTAGTTGAATGTTTCGCTCGAATTCAAGTAAAATTTAATTAACACGCGTTGATGCGTGATATCTTTCTAATAATTTCTCTTGCATTAAGTCAATATTAATAGGATTGCTTTTTTTGTTTTTCGTCTTATGAATACTAAGAGTTTTTTCTCATGCTTATCATGAGTTCAATCTAATAACAGAGCGATCATTTGGTGAAGAACTGTACCCAATGTATGCAGAATAAACTATTCATAAAAATCTAGAACGGCATACAAACGCTAATTACCCTGGGATATTCGGAAATAAAAAACACTGCGCTATCTTAATTTCGGAACAATTTCATTCACAAGTTTGTGATTGTACTATTGAATTTCTGACTGAACACTACAAAAATTTACAATTAAACTTCCATCGAATAGGTACAGTATAAATTCGTGAATTTCCGACTTTCACTTGTATCAAAAACCGCTAAAGCGCTGGCAGAGATACAATCGCGAGAATTATCACGAAATTTGTGTAATCACAATGAGGACATTTTAAAAATTCTTAACATTTGTTTCATCTGATATATCTAAATATCTAATATAAAAATTTTAAATGGTTTCCGAATAATCGAATTAAAATATCGCATGGTTTCCAAGCGAATAATTTTTTCAACTTTACTCCGAGAATTAAATTTAGAAACGTCTTTAAACTTATCTAATCTATAAATAACAATTTTTAAATTTACTTAGAAATAATTTTTTGTTTCGAAAGTAATTTCGAAAATTTTGTTTTGAACAAATTCTCGTGATAGAATTCTGGAATCGTTCCCATGATACAAAGCTTCATATGATTCAAGATGGAGGACTTAGCTGTGGAAGTTTGCGGTGAAAATGGTGCTTATTACAAAGTGAGTTATCTTTTAAAGAAAGAAAGAAAATCAAATTTTTCATATTATTAAGCCTCTCGTCGAAATATTAATCTCGTTGATATAATGTCATTATTTTTTTCTTAAATAAGAAAAAGAATAACTCAACTGAATAGACGCTAAGAAAAGAATTATTAAGGAATTTTAATTTCAATGGTTTTTTTAATTATTACAGCTTAAAAATTAATTGATCGGCTAAACGCTTGTTCGATTATTAATGTATTATTAGTGTTATAGATTTAATTTTATTTACGTTAAAGAAACACATTTTAGAACTTCGTATAGGCCTAATGTACGAACGCTAACACGTGCTAAGCCTAAAGATGGCTGCTAATATCATTTCGAATTGTTTTTATCTAAAGTTAGTAAAATGATTTATTATTTTAGGAATAAATATTGATAATATTCTAAATGTATTAAGTAATACTGCAGTTAACAATATGTGTTTTTCGCGATTGTAACTTTTAGAGAATAAAATAACACACACAAAATTAC